ACGAGTAGACTCCAACAACCAGAGGCAGAGGGCAGATAAAGCAGGCCTGACACACGCCTGATTGTAATCTTTGAAGGAGTAGACCAAAATGACACAACAGAACAAAGAGTTAAAGATTAAAGAAAACTCATCAGACATAAAAGATAACTTGCATCTACAGAGTGAAAGAAAAAATTCACACCAAATTGCCAACATGGAAACATGCCCTAATAAAGTTACTGGACTTCAAGATAAAGATAAAATTTGGGTACAGCCAAGAAAAGAGATCAAGTCTTCTGTTAAGGACAAAAACAGTGGCGTTTTCCTCAGACTCTCCACAGAAATACTCAAAGCAGAAGACAGCAGAAGACGCCAGCACAGCCCGGCGGGGAGAAGGCACGAGCCCAGAGCGTCAGACGCAGCCAAGGGCTGACAAGCACAGAGGCAGCAAGCGTTTCCGCATGAATGGGAGGGAGATGGCTTGATTGGCTCCTCTTGAAGAAATTACTAGCCACACATTTCAGCCAATTCAGAGATGATTGAATAGCCATTTAAAGCAATAGACTGGGAGTGAACATGGAGTCCATGGAACGAAAGGACAAAGACACGGCCAAGGTGGAAATGAGGACAACAGAAGGAGGCTTAGGGACAGAAAGGACATGTTGGCCAGTAGACAAGACACAGCCGCAGAGGGATTTGAGAACCGGAGGAAGGACCCGAGGAAATTACCTCGCCAGGCAGAAGCGGGAAGGTGCCGTTTTTCACATAACTGCGGGGAGGAGACAGCCTTCCAAGCTGGGGGAAGAGCAATTGCCAAGTGTGGAGGCCTGAAGGTGCGGGACGCACTATCCGGGACGCGGGCAGGCACGGCAGCCACCACCTCCCCCAGGAGACTGTGCAGTCAGGGGGGTCACACACGGTCCACCTCCCGCGATTGGTCCCCACCAAAAATCCGGCCCCCACACCAGTGTCCCTAAAGGCTGACTGCCTCCAAGCAGCCCTTCAAACCCTCGCTCCCAGTCCGAGTGTCCAAAAGCTATGAATAGTATGATTTAAAAGATTACGATACCTGCAGCGTGAAAGGGAAAGGGCAAAGCCAGGCCAGCAGATCCCAGAGGAAACAGAGGCAGGGCGGGGAGGGCAGTAACCCTTCCATGAATCGTCAGCTAAGATTCTGAGCGAACGGAAGAAGACGTGGCTTCCTTGCATCTTCAAAACAAGAGCAGTGTGCTATGAGAAAAGATCAGGAAACAAGGACGACAGGCACTTTGGGATGAAGCACACGACGGCCGACGCACCATGACGCAGGAATGTTAACAACAACACTGGAAGACGGTGACGTCTCCCAGAGAGCAGAAGAAAAGGCAGAGACAGGAGAGGGGGTGAGAATGCGATGACCGCTCTCAGGACTGGTGGGTGAGTGGTGGAGCTCCAGATCTGAGAAGAAGAAGCACAGAGGAGAGAAAATGCCAAAGAAAACCTCCAGACCACCCCAGAAGCCGACCAAAGGATACGCAGCAGTGGGCCCGTGACCTGTCAGCAGATGTGGGACACCCAGGTCCAGAGGACCCTGCAGGCAGAGGGGGCCCAGAAGGTCGCCCCCATTGTTGTTCTAGGATAGGACAGCCCTGGCCACCCGTGTGCAGGGCAGCAGCTGGTAGATGGTGGGTGGCAGGGATGAGTCCAGGGCACGGGCAGGGGACTGGCCCTGGGAAGGGGTGGGGGAGGTCCTGCAAGCACAGCTAGGCCGGGGCAGGGCTGTAATTTGGGGGAGTTGTCCATAGAGAGGCCAGGGGAGACAAAGGGAGGGAGAGCGCCTGGCCGGGGCCTCGGGAAGGGGCCAGCTTGCCCACCCCACCCCCGCAGCGGGCAGCAGGTGAAGCTGGGCTGAGCTGTGCAGCACGAAGGTGCCCCCTCATCCAGGCTCAGGCCTGGTTAGAGAAGGTGGGACATTTGCCCAGACCAGGGGCTGCAGCAACAAGGGAAGGCGGAGAGAGGGGTATAGAGCCCAGTGCGGCCTGGAGAGCCCAGTGCGGCCTGGAGTGCCATGAGCCGCCGTCACACAAGCCCCGGCACCTGGAGACAGCCCGACATGGGTGGTGGCTGGGCACCGGGCATGGCACAGGGCCGTCATGGCCACAGATGGGCCATGCAGCCCAGCACAGCACTGAGCACCCACTCCCGTCCTCTGTAGAGACCTGGGCACCTCCCTGGGCCGCCTGCAGGTGCTGTGGCTGACTCGCTGCGGCCTGGGGGACCTGGACGGCATCGGCTCCTTCCCGGCCCTGAAGGTGGGTCTGCGGTGCACTGGGCTGGGGGTGGGGGCCCCCTAGGCCGGCCCATGCTGAGGCCCCGTGCCCCCACAGGAGCTCTATGCCTCCTACAACTGCATCTCGGACCTCAGCCCGCTGTGCCTGCTGGAGCAGCTGGAGGTGTTAGACCTGGAGGGCAACGGCGTGGAGGACCTGGGGCAGGTGTGCTACCTGCAGCTGTGCCCAAGGCTGGCCACGCTCACCCTGGAGGGCAACCTGGTGTGCGTGCGGCCAGGCCTCCACAGCGAGGTGTGTGCGGTGGGCTCTCAGCCAGCAGCGTGCTAGGTGGGGCAGGCGCTCTGGGCTCAGGTCCCCGCAGCCCTCCCACTGCCTGGGGACCACCTGCGCCCTGTAGCTTGTTCTCTTATGTCACTGGAGGCCTGGCAGCTGCCAATGCGTCCTCCTAGGCCAGGGTGAGACCCCACAGGGCCACGTGCACACATGCCACGTGGAACCACACGTGCTCTGTGCGTTGCCACAGAGAATCCTGCGTTTTCTCTCTCTTACACACACACACACACACACACACACACACACACACAGAGGAGCAGGCCTGTGTGCACCCACTCAGCTGCTCACACCACCTGCCCACTAGCTGCTGCTTGGCCAGCTGGACCGAGCTCTGAGCTCAGGGCAGCTCCGCAGGCTGGAGGGCAGCACGGGGCACTGGTTATAAAGCCAAACAGTGAGACCACGTAGGGGACAGCCCACAGTCCCCATCGTCCCTGGTGACCCAGCAGCCTGGCAGGGTGGGGCAGCCTTACCAATTCCAGCTCCCCTTCCCTACCCTACAGCGGGTCTGGGGCAAGTGGCCCCAGGACAACCCGGCCTGAAGGGCCCCTCCCCTCTCCCTGCCGCACCCCCCACCACCACCCAGGCCTGCTGCCCCTCCCCCTCAGGTGCCGCAGGGCTATAACTACCGGGTGGAGGTGCGGAGGCTCATCCCCCAGCTACAGGTGCTGGACGAGTTGCCAGCCACACACACAAGCCTGCCGGCCTCCCGGAAGCTGGACCAGGACTGGCTCGTGGTGAAGACGGCCATCCAGGAGGGCAGAGTCCTGGACGGCCTGCTCCCCACGCTGGGTATGGGAGCTGCCCCATCCAGCTTAGAAATCTCACCCACTGAGCCCCAAAAGAGGTCTCCACCCTGCCTCCCAGGGATGGACAGCCGCATGCGAGTATAATATCACTTCTCAGCCTTCACCCTTCATCCCCAGAGCTTGCACATCTGCCCCCAGGCCGGGAGCCTCCCCGCCCACCTGCCCCCCATTGGCTTTGGGACATACATGTTGGGTGGTGGGGGTTCTTGGTCTGTGGACAGTCCTGGGGGGAGGGTCTTGGGTTGGCCAGCTGACGTGGTCTTGGTGACTTCTGATTTTGACCCTCTGCCAGATGGTCCCCATGGAGACCCCATTTGGAGACTCAGCCCTGAGCGAGCCCTGCCTGAGACCCAGCCCCCGGCCCCCGGGCCCCGGCCCCTGGCCCTTCCCAAGGACGTGGCTCCAGAGGATGATGCCAGCAACCTCACCCACGGTAACTGACCCCTCTTAGCGTACAGCTGCCCCCACAGCCCCTCTGCCCCAGCCAGGCCAGCCTCAGCTTCTTCCTCAGGCGCCGGCCGAGTCCTCTGTGGGAACCCCACCAAAGGCCTGCGAGAGCGTCGGCACCGATGCCAGGTACGCCCTGCCTGTGAGTGCACCTGGACTCTTCCAGTGGACCGATGTCCTGGCCCGACTGCCCCATGCTACAGCCATTCCGGGCCCCGGGCCCTGGCCCCAGCTCTCCCACACCCGCCACAGATGAGTGTCTTTCTCCCCCTGGGCTACTGCCCACCTGGCCCCCTCGAAGGCCATGCCCCCAAACCAGCCCTTTCCCTCCACAGGCCTGGGCGCCCCCAGACCAGCTGCTTGCACGGAGGCCGGGAAGCCTGGCCACCAGGGCTTCTCCCCTGAAGCCTGACCCTGCAGACAGCCGCGACCTCTTGGCACTGGGTGGATTTCAGGCCTGGAGGGGGCTGTGCCTGCGGTGGGTGCTCCCCTCTGCACTGGGCCCCCTACCCACCCTGTGTGTCCTGTTTGGGGGGTGGGTCATGGCTGGGACTGCCTTGGCTGAGCATCACTGGCCCCCAGGATGGCCAGAGGAACTAGTCCTGGGAGCCTGAGGCTGGGGAACCACCCAGGGTCACACTCATTGGTGGGGATTGGCTGGGGGGTGGGGGGCAGGGCTGCAGCCTCTCCCCCTCCCCTCACCTCTGTCCCCTCCCCCATAGGCAGCTGGAGTCCTGGCAGGAAGAGGCCAAAGTCCCCCCGGGACCAGACCGGGGCCCTGAAGAACAAGAGGATGAGACCGGGCCCAAGACTTCCCCCAGCCCCCTGAGCATGGCCTCAGGTACTGAGTCCCCACCCACGGCGTCAGGATGGGGCCCTCAGCCCAGCCGAGCCTGCTTCCTCACCGGGCTCGGAGAGGGGCTGTGACAGGGAGGTCCTCTCCCGGGGGTGGCTTCAGAGCGACAGTGCTGAGTGCAGCAAACCCAGGGCTGGAAGGCACATCCAGCAGGCAGGGCCCTGGGGGGCTTCCTGCGGGAGGGTCTGACCCGACTGGTGCAACAGCTGGCGGGCGAGCCTGGGGAGCAGACACCGCAAGCGGGAACAGGCTGAGGGTGGCAAACGACCCACGGGTGGGGGCTTCCAGGGGGCCGGGATGGAACAGGGACAGGGCAGGGGAGCCTCTGCTCTTCTAAGGCTGGACGTTGCCTGGGAGGAGAGGCAGAGGGTGGTCCAGAGATCTGCTCACCAAGAGGGGTCAAAGGCCATCCACCTAGTGGAGGGTGGGGGCAGAGCAGGCAGGGGGCCAGCAGGAGTGGCCGGAGTGATGACAGTGGAGACTCAGGGAAAAGGGAGTCCCAGGGCTTCCCATTCCAGACTGGGTCCAGGTGAGTACTGGGTAACCATGGCCACACCTGTCCCATCTGCCCTGCGGTGAGAGCTGAGGCCTCGCTCTACAGCAGAGCCACCAGCCTGGGAGTAAGCCCTTGGGGACAGACCCAGTGACCCAAAGCCAGATCCCAGGCCTTGTGGCCTCTGCCTCCCCAGGGGTGGGTCCTGGCCCAAGCAAGGGTCAGAGGTCACAGAGTCGAAGGAGCACAGCTTCCCCAGGGAACATAGGAAGTGGGGCAGGTGCTGACTGGAGGGGGTGGGGTGAAGGGTAGGGGAGGGGCCACAGTGGACACCGCCCCTCTGCCTGTAGCAACCTGCACCTGATGATTCTTTGGGGGGACCTTATCTGACATGGTCTTTCCTTATTTTCCAGAGCCTTCCAGAACCTCGGGCTACAACCTGCTCCCCACTCCCCCCAAGCTCCCCATGCCACCTGATTCGAGCAGCCCGTGGGGGTCCACAGACCTGCAGTTCCGGGGGCGACGGCTCAGAGCTTTGGGCAGCTCAGGGCCTGGCCTAAATCAGCGGCTGGCTGCAGTGGCTGCTCTGAGAGCCCTGGAGGTGGCCTCAGGCCCCAGCCCTCGAGACCAAGGATGTCCAGACCCAGCAGCCAGACACCCAGCCCTCCGGTGCCTGCCACCCCTGAACCCTATCACCCCAGCCCAATCCCACCCCTAGTGTAAACCCCACCCACTGTCAAGCTGCCCAGGACTGTGGCCAAGGGGCCCCCCCCTTGGTGGTCGAAGCCTCATGGAACCCAGAGCATCAGGGCAGGTGTGTTGGGGGACTGGGTGGTGGGCCTGGCCTCCCTCTTGGTGGAGGGAAGTGGGGACCTGCACCACCAGGGAGGGTACACAGGTGAGAGCCCAGAACAGCCCAGTTCCCCACCCCTGGCCCAGCTGCCCATGGCTCCCACAGGGCCTAGCCTTCCCCGGAGGAGTGGTCAGAGGAGCGGCCTGGAAGAGACTGGGTGGGGCCCAGGCCGCGGTGGCTGAGCGGCGCCGGCTTGGCCCCTGGCAGGCCCTGCAGCCACCCCTGGGCCACTTGTTCCGTGGAGAGGCGCTCGCCCTAGGCGGAAGGGAGTGTAACCAGGCCTCGCATCCCCGGAGGATTTGTGGGGCTGGGGAGGTGGGGGGCAGGATAGCCAGAAAGCAAGCGAATCATTTTCGACTCAGGTGTACAGAAACGCGGTTTACTTCGTAGGCGACGTTGGTTCAATAAATTATGCAGCTGGCACTGCCTGCCTCCCACGACTCTCTCCCGCACCGGGTGCTGCCCGCCGCCGCAGTCACGGCGACGGCCGGTGAGTGCAGGCGCCAGAAGTGCTCGCCCGCTCTACCCTGGCGCTACAGCCGCCCGCACGCGTCCGCGGTGAGGGGCGGGCCGCGGAGGAAGCGGAAGCCGAATCCGCTCCCGGCCGTGCTCTGCACCGACAGCGCCACCATCGGGCGATCCCGGTCCACGCTCTTCCC